ATTATAACACAGAGGTCATTCCAAAGGAATTACCAGCTTTCAAATGATATGAGACAATTATTCTCAAGGGAGTCAAACAAATTTGTAAGACAAATACAGTTGAAACTTCAGACATCAATCTCTTTTTTACCATAGCATGGGAACAAGGGAGCTGTGAAATGTAATTTTACCCCAAGGCCCAACAAATGATCGCATTAAAAAAATTTTTTTTTCCCAGAAAAAAAATTAACATGTGAATATGTCTTAGAAAGTGAACATGGTGGTTAGCTTTTATCATGCAGTCTCACATGAGTAGTACCTTTTGAACATAACCCAGAAATGGTTCTAGAAGAGTTTACCAATCCAGATACAAGTTACTAAACATGCCCAGTACTTTGGCCAAAAATGCTGATGAGAGGCAAAACCAATCATCAAGATCCAGATTAAGATATGATTTTCCTCTAAATCCAGCTGCAGGGCACAGCACAGCATACAAGTTCAAATATTTCCAGTTTGGGGGGGAGTAGGGGGGTGTTGATTTTACCATACACTGCTACATTTCATGGACACTCCCAACTGCCTACTAAAGGGCAGTTACTTACTTACCTGAGTGGTACACCTTGTACTTTAGGAGTGATCTCACATGCACATTTTAAACAGCACCTACTATATGCTGAATAGAAGCAGCTTAATTGATTTATGCAATTTTCCAAAAAAGGTAAATCTCAGCTCTTTATGATTCAGCATAACAGGGACAAAATGGGTGGAAAAAAAACAGTCTCAAAGGGAAATTATTAATAATATACAAAACAACAGATCTTTACTTATAGCAGGGGTGTCAGACTTGTGGCTTGTTGGCAGGATTTGGCCCATAGAGTGATATCATTTGGCCAGGAATTCAGGAGTAGAGCAAGCAGGGGAGGGACTACCACCTAAATCTGGGGCATGGAGCCCTGCAGCCACTATCATCGCTCATCCCAGGACTTGTTCTGTGCTGCATCCAGATCTAGCCTGCAAGGAACCTCATGGTCTGGGTCCAGCCAGGGGGATTTGATACCACTAACTTATAGTATGTGGCTGGGCACTGCTTCAGGTAACAAGACACATTTTTTTCTTAGAGGTCAGGAGACAATAGTAGTAACACATACTGTACAATGCCTCTAGTGTTTCAGCCATCACCTCACCCTAACAATAATTATATAACATTCAGAGGATTTGCACTTGTGTGAAGCGTCATGAATCTTGTATACCAGTGTTTTGAGGAAAGCAATAACACTAGTTTTGGGTGCTAGTTCTCTGTAGTATTTAGTATCTCCATGTATCCACGATGCTGTTATTGTGGGTATGATATTGTGAATATCTATGTAGACAGAAGGGCAAATCCTGCTGTCCTTACTTGTGTAAATGTCCATTTGTGCCAGGTATTTATACAGTGTAAGGTATACCAGTTTCTGATTTAAATGGACCTATTTATGTGAGTACATAAGAAATCTTTCACCTTAGCATGGACAGATCTAGGATTTTGAAAAGGTGGAGGGTGCAAATGGTGCGGTGCATAACACAGAAAATATTTTTCTCCAGGTAAAAAGGAACTAGAAACTTTACTAATATGCCAGGGGCCTAGAGCTATATTATTAATTTGAAGATTGACATAAAACAAATATAACTTTATTGGAATGAGTTAAAAACAGTCTGCAGGGCTGTGAAATAGGAGCTACATTGCCACAAGCAGCTTACAGACAGCAGAATTGCAGAAGAAAGGATAGTTTGATTAGTAGAACATCAAGACATTAAAAAGGAGAGAAAGTCATTAACACCTGTGGAATGAAGAGTTCAGAAGGAATTAGGTAGATTTTAATGATCCATGAATTCAATTGACACTCTTACTGCTGCCTGAATAGACATGCTGCTGCTATTGCCAGGCAGCTGCTTTTAAATTTTGGGTGGACCAGGAAGCAAAAAGGGTTGCAAGTACACAAGTGCACCCCCCTGGATCCACCTCTGCATTTTAGTATAGATATACTCAAAGTGGTAAATTGCGTATAGATACAAGGGAACTACTTTTTTACTAAAGTTTGATTTGCAAAAACATGTAACAGACTTAGATTGTGTAACTGCCGTTGTATAAAACAACAGGCATCTTAGAATTTTTTATCGCTAACACATTGCAATGAGACCTTGCAAAACTTAGCAATATAACTCTTTATGATTTTACTGTATTTTAATATTATAATTGCTTACCTTTATGTGGAGAACATTTTTTAAATCTCTCTTTAGTTTTATTTATCTTATTTAGGTATATTATATGTATACACAATTACTTACAGAGAATGTCTGAATATATTTCCTTAGTATCTGTGTATTCTTATGATATATTCTGGTTCTACTGACGTATATTATCTAGAGCTGACTAAATGATTTCATTAGGTATAGTCTGTGATGTATTTAGGTTTACCTGCTGACTCTCATTGATTGCACAAAAATGTTTTCCAAATGAAAACTGACAAATTAATGAGAAATGCAAACACATCCTGGTATAAACGAGTGAAAACAGAGTAGTACCTGTCTGACTGATGATCGTAGTACCTGTCTGATTGACTGAGGAGAACCATGTAATGACCTCCTTAGTACTTGGTGTGAGGAAAGTGGTTCAAATGTAACATTTCTGCTTTCCAAATCAAATAATCTCATTCCACCCTCAGAAATGTTTCCAAAGTGCAGCAGTTTTCCCACGAGGTTCCTTGAAATGTTTGAAAATTTGAAAAATCTATGTGATGAATGGCAGGCATCTTGAAGCTGCTATATGGGTGTGTAGCAGACATGTTATCTACCCTATGGTGGGAACCATCTTTGAGCTGTACAGTACCCCTGAAAGTTCCCAGAAACATGAAAAATTATGAATCCCTGGCGCTACATAGCTTCCTAGATTAGCTGTACACTAATATGCTGTTGTACACTAATAGGCACTACAAGTCACATTCAAAAGACAGAATTATAAACAGAATTTATTTTATATACATATTTTTGATTTAGCAAGTTTTAGCCTCATGGCACTAGATGATTCTCTGCACATTTGGACACTGTGCACATTGCATTGCCCTTGAACTTGAATTTCTGCTTGTTGAATTTACAGTCACTGCATTCAACAATCTCCAGGGTGGGAGAAAGTTGTTTATTTCAGTGGGTCCAACCAGCTATGAAGTTAGATCTCAAAATTGTGTATTAACTAAATAGGTGGTTGGTATCCAGCCTTAATTTTCACAGGTAGCAGGGTCTTCCCTAAGACTGGAGCCCTGTCAACTGACCCCTCTCCCAGCTGCAGGGGTACACCATGTCTAGCCAGGGCTGGGAGTCCAGCAACTCAGGGGACTCTCAGCCCCAGCAGTGTCACACAGTTGCTGGGACCACAGATGCTTACACTTGGTCCCGGCAGCTGTGGGTAGCAGCTGCAATCTCCCAGCCCTGGTGTGCATGGAGCCCCCAGGGCTGAGAGATTGCTGCTGCTACCATCTCCCAGCCTCGAGGGTGCGTGGGGTGCTCCCATGAGGGGTTTCCCAGCTGCAGGAGCTTGTTTCTTGCCAGTGTAGGGGGGCCTGGGATCAGGCTTTCCCTGCACCAGCAATAAGGTGCAATGGGATCTTATATGTGGTCCCACAATCATGCCTCCTGCCATGCATGTGTGGCATGGCAGGAGGCACAATTGTGTGGATCATGCTTTTTCCCCTTGCACCTTTACCTGCACGTGCAGAGGGGCTCTGATACTTACACGTACTAAACGTTCAACTGTATGAATTATAGGAGTCCAAAAGCAGCATACTCATCTTTTATGTTATATGTTCTTATACCTTTAGGAGCATAGTATACTGCTAACATACTAGTCTATTGTCTTTCACTCATATGAACTGCATGCAGTCTCTCTACACCTTTATGAACGTGTTTACAGGTTGCCCTATGGCGACATAGCGATGCACTATGTTGCCATATAGTGTGCTAAAGTAACATAGCAATCACATGGGACTACACGTGATGGCAGCTTTGTTGCCATAGCAGTGCACTTCCCCAGTATAGCACACCACTATGGCAACACAGAAGCAAAATCTAACTGTGCACCATGCACACAGTGCAGTAACTGCCCATACTGCGCTGTGCTTTAACACTTCCAGAAGAAAGTACTAATGCACGGTGCCATAGCAATGGTGATATGTAGATGCACCCATTCTGACCCAAGTCTAGTGAAAAAAATTATACCTTAGAAAAGTTTCATTTTCCAGATCCTTGAAAGAATTTCTATGATAGTCAGACTTCCCTGTGTTTAAAGGAACTTATGAACTTAATAAAAAACAAACAGTTTCAAAAGTGGCTCCATTTCCTTTTCAGTGGAAAAGATAAGATTCAAATGGAACATCTGAAACACAATTTTATATTGTAAATCAGTATAATTATCCACGTACTATGGGTAGAAGCAGTGTTTGCACTATTCTTCAGGTTTTCAGAGGATGACCAGGAAAACTAATGGATTCTGAATATCAAGCAGCAAGAAAAAAAGACTGATAAAATAGCCAATGGACATGAAAACATTTGCTCTGTTTGTAGGTCTAATGGATCAGCATATTTAGCTGAATCATTTAGCTTTCAGAAATGATACTCTTCTTTCTTTGCTAATCTGGATTTCTCAAGAGTCTGAAACAATGCCTCATGTAAACAGATGAACCTCCGCTGAATCCAGTGTTCATAGATTCATAGAAGTACAGTTGGAAGGGACCTTGTAGATCATCAGGTCCGACCCCCTGCCCTGGGCAGGAGAGAAAACTGGGCTTAAATGACCCCAGCCAGGTAGATGTCTAGCCTCCTCTTAAAGACCCCCAGGGTAGAAGCCATCACAACTTCCCTCAAAAGTTGGTTCCAGATCCTAGCCGCCCTGACAGTGAAGTAGTGCCTTTGGATGTCTAGTCTAAACCTACTCTCTAACAACTTGTGGTCATTATTCTGGTCACCAGGTCCCCCCTCAGCCTTCTCTTGCAAAGGCTGAACAAGTTAAGGTCCCCATCGCCTCTCTTCTGTTGAATTATATCTTTTTAAAAGTTCAGATGAAAACCAGTGGTTAGAAATTATATTGAAATAATTTTTATTCTTTTCCTTGGCTCGTTCAAAATCTGAATTTGTGTTAAGATCCAGGCAGGGCATACCCACTCCACTGATTCTGACATTGCACTGGAAGGACCAAACACTCACAGACAGGATACTTAATGTCAAGACTGGATAACTTCAAGTAAATATTGTATGCTTTGTGGAAGATATGTTTTACCCAAAACCAAATTATATTTTTGCCAAACAAGTTGCTCAAACTGGGCTCAAACAGGATGAAATTTAACACCCTATGATGTACAGATAAGATGAGACTTTCTAATTTTCCCTCTGGCCATAAATTTTAGGAATCCATCAATAAAAATATATTTAACTTTTTATGGCCTGACTACCAGATTTTTTAAAGTCTGGTATACTGTAGTACAGTGCTGTTCAACTTCCAGCCTGCAAGCCAGATCTGGCTTGTGAGGAAGCCCACGAGCCAAAAAATCTGGCAAATCAGATCATAGAATCATAGAAAATTAGGGTTGGAAGGGACTTCAGGAGGTCATCTAGTCCAACCCCCTACTCAAAGCAGGACTATCCCCAACTAGATCATCCCAGCCAAAGCTTTGTTTAGCCACTTCTTAAAGGGTGGAGAGTCCACAACCTCTGTGGGTAACCTGTTCCAATGTTTTACTACCCTCCTAGTGAAAAAATTATTCCAATATCTAACCTAAACTTCCCTTGCTGCAACTTGAGACTGTTGCTGTTCGTTCTGTCATCTGCCACCACTGAGAACTAGATGATGAAGCCCTGCGCGCTGGATTACACCAGTGCATGGAGTAACTCCATGTCCAGATCTGGTGTGCAGGGCCACACCAGCACTATGGGTTGCACCTGCGGACCAACCCCAGACACTGACCTTACATTGGATCAGGCCTGTGAACTGACCCCATACCACTCATCCACCCTGCAGGGCTAGAAACTTGAGCACCACTGATATTAAACAGTTCCTACAGTAAAATATGAGTAAAGTTGTTTCTACAATAGAAAGAGTACTGAGTTTTGCTCACAGCTTTGTTCCTATGTCTGAGAATCATTTAAAAGGATTTCACAGGCCCTAAAGGAATTGTGCTAATCAATAGACAGTGAATTTATGATTTTAAAGAGCCCTGTTGTCCTTCTACCCAGTGGAAGCATTGTTTATGTCAGAATTCGCAAAGGAATACAACAGTGGTGGTTATGGCAGTGCATTTGTTTTAGGCGAGCTCTGAAAAAAATGGGCGGTTACTGTTGAATCAATGGTCCCTGTTGGCTTGAGAGCAGAATAAGAGTAAAGATGATAAATCAGAGCAGCACAGAGAGGTTTTGGCTAAATGTTTAGATACATTTCCCTTTATTAAAAAGCTCACTCAACTTCTCTTCAACTGTATTACTCCAGTTTGGCTCATTGTTAGTGTCTATTCTTCAGTGATTGTGGCTTTTTGTCTTGTTCAGTCAAAAGTGGAATCGTTTTCCTCTTTCCTCTTCTGTTTTTGTTATCTGCTTCTACAGTCATTAAACTCAGGGCTATTGGGGGGGGACACCCCTGTTTATTTTAAAGCAGGGGAATTGTACCCCTCATTACCTAATGCTCCCTCAGTGTGAGTCCTGAGATTCTGAGTGGCCAGGGCTTCAAGACCCCAGCCACACACTGCATAAGTGCACACCCCCAGGCCTCATGGCGTACATAAACGAAATGAGAGGTGTGTATGCATGACACTTTAAAGTGGGCTAAATGCTTTTGAACTGCTTTAATGGTGTTGCCGTCTGCACGCCTCGGTGGCGTATCGCTTATTACTTTCAGCTGCTGTTGGAAATTCAATGATGTGATGCACCTTAAATGACTTGGGGCGCAGCAAACTGAAACTCCTTTGAGACGTTTTAATTTGCTGCCCCTACAGCCATGGAGCAAAGGACCAGGCTCTGTGCAGCTCCACGGCTTTGGCAGCAGCCTGGGAAAGCAGGCTCTGCCCAAGAAAAGCAGTGAGCCTGATCTCCCCCACACCCGAGCCTGCCTGCCTGAGTTGTGCGAGGGCCTGGTGCTTCCCTCCACAGCTGTGGTGCCCCCGGGGACCGCCCAAGCCAGGTGCTGGCAGGTGGGTGCTGCCTGGGGAGGGACCACCGCTGCCACAGAGGGAAGCACCAGCCCCTCCCCCAGCCCAGGGGCCACTCCGCCTACCGGCAGCTCACCCTCCCCCCCACACCGCAGAGGCAGGTAAATTAGCGGGGTGTGTGCACAACACAGGGGTTTTCACAGATTCATAGATTGTAAGGGGCTGGAAGGGACCTTGCAGATCATCAGGTCCAGCCCCCCAAATCTAGGCAAGAAGACAACTGGGGTCAAGTGACCCCAGCGAGGTGACTATCCAGTCTCCTCTTGAAAACCTCCAGGGTAGGTGACTGCACCACTTCTAGAGGGAGTTTATTCCACAGTCTGGTCACTCTGACTGTGAAGGAGTTTGTCCTGGTATTAATCCTGAAGTGGTGCTCCAGAAGTTTTTATCCATTGGTTCTGGTCTTCCCCAGGGATGCCCTAGTGAACAGTTGTTCACTGAGCTCCTGATGCAATTTAATCAGCCCTAAACTGAAGAGGTGTTTTTTAAAACCCACCGCTTCAATTTAAGGCCCCCGTTTTGTCTACACATGTCCCACGTCATGCTGCGTGCCCCCTCACACTGCACCAGGGCATATTATGTACCCTCCCCCTGCACTGTACACCCCCCCACTGGCACCATATTGGGTCCTCTGAACCTTCCAGCCTTGGGCTCCTTCAGCCTTTTGGGCCACCCTGCCCCACCCCGAGGAGCAACAGCAGGCACTGGTAGCTGAAGGAAACCGGGGAGCCTCGAGAAAATCAGAGAATCAGAAGCATGTCTTCAACTGGTGTAAACTGTCCTAGCTCAGTTGCAGTCAATGGAGCTATACTAATTTACACCCACTGAAGGCCTGATCATGGGTCTTTTGAATTGTAACTAACTCTGGAACATGCTGGTTAGGTATACTCTCATAACAGATGGTCATGAAGGAACAAATGGCAAGAATTATTACATACAACTTGCTGTTTTCCTCTATTTTTCATTCCTACTCATCACTTTCTAAAAATTACATGTTTCTCCCATACTTTGAGGTCCTAGGCAACAATTCCTGGCCAGGATTAATATCAGGGGACTTTTCAGTGCCAACTACAGCATGATAGGATGTCTAAGTTTTCCTGTCTTAAAACCTGATTTAATACTGGTGAAAGGTGCCAGATGGTCAGCACTGGAAATTGAGTTCCTTCATTTACCCCTGGAATAGGAAGAGGTGGTGCAAGGTAAGCCTGTGCCAGTGAGACCCAACAACCTTAAAACAAAACATCTCATAGAGTAAGAAGTTAGTTTCCATGTTTAAACAGCCCAAGCCTCTTTCCTAAGGTTGTCAACCTGGCAGCAAAATGGGGAAGGGACATTATTTGCCTATTGGGAGCATTATTTGTCCAATGGGATACAGGTATTTGTCCATTGGGAGCTTGACTAAGACAATCAAATCATTACACATAGGCCACTGCACACTTGGCATAGGATTAACCATTATCATCCTGGGTTGGGTTAGACTGGGTAATCTCTGAGAGACAGACTCTGAATACTGTATTCCCTGTCCAGTTTTCTGAGAAGTGGACTTCACTGAGAGATAGAGGGTACTGACATAGAGTGCATGTCTAATGTGCACTTCATTGAGAGATAGAGGGTGTTGTAGTACACACAGGTATCCTGCACCTCTCCTACTCATTACTTTTCCACTCTGATGTGTATGTGCTAGGTATGTTCTAGCAGTCCTTTCATGATATTGGGAGCCAGGTGTGTCAGACTATTTTTATACAATAACCTTATCAGCCCTAGCAGCCGTGTGCTCACGCCTATTGCACTGCTTCCTAAACTAGAAGCAGTGTAGTTTCTTTCTCATGGTGTTGGGGGTGGACTGAGTGGTATTGCTGAGTAACAGCGCCAATTAACTTGCACACAAACTAATTAGCCCATATCCTTGGAGTCAACTATATTGCTTCCACTTTAGGAGGACAACTTCCTTAAAGCTGCCTGCCACCAGGGGCAGTAAATTTACTGTGTAGATGCAACCTCACAGTTCCACTCCTAGTTCTGCCACAGATTCCCTCTGGGGTCTTGGACAAGAGGGTCCTTTTACCTCCATTTCCCCACAACAAGAGAGATGTCCTTACCTCAGAGCAGTATTATGAAAATATAACAAAGATGAAAAGCAGTTAATGCTGAACTCTAACAGCACATTATGAGAATCAAAGATTAGTTGCATTTATTTTGTAAAATGGCACCTCCATACCACTGATCACACTGCCCACACCAGTGAAATGTTGTCATTGCTAATCCATGTCATTAGCTTTCCTTTTTGTACAGTGCTATGCATTAGTGCAGTAATAGCTATGAGATGCTTGAGTTTTATTAAGAAAAAGGCAGAAAGCAGTCAATACGTTATTTCTTACCACTACCGGCCTATCCCCACAAACCGGTTCTTGCTAGAGAGGAGCCAAACAAAACCACAGGAAAGTTTCAGATAAATAATCAACACCACTCAGTATCAGACAACCTATAGCAACCAAAATCTTTTCAGATAAATGAGTTAAAAATGGGATATCCCCTGTAACACTCCATGTACCTCTAAATATGCTGCTTCTGCAGGAAACCCAGGATTACCACTGAAAAGCATGCCCTATCCAACACTTCCTGCAAAGCATGTGACAAAGCCTGAAAATTAGGGCACGGAGCTGCTCAGAGCAAGCACCCAGAGCCACTCTTGAGGTCTCTGTCTAAGGAGTGCTTTTGGTGCACACTCAGGGCTGCATTTAACTGGCTACATTCCATCATTTCCAGGCTTTGGGTTGTGCTCAGCAGGAACAAGTGTGCTTTGGGCATATTTCCTGGCAGTGTTCCTGGGCTTGCCACAGAGGTAGTGTGACATGCCCATAGAGGACTGTATTTAATCAAGTAGTCAGGAAAAAGATCCCTGAGAATACCCCAACAAGATTCTTTCCATGCAGCATTTCAAAGGACATTTGATATTACACTTGAGCTTAACCAACATGCCAATGTCCTCCGTTTTACATTGAAAACAATTTTGTATATTTACCTGTAACTACCAGTTTTAAATTGATTTTTTTTCTAAAGGTATTTCTCTTTCCCCCACCCGCTTCTTTCACTCTGATTAACAATCATAGCATGATCTCATCAGGCCTAGACAAGTATTGATGGACTATAGTATCACGAGGCTAATAAAGAGTGTTATCCAGTATTTTCTGGTGACAGATAAAAACTCCCTTATGAAAGATACAGGAGACAGAGTATAATATAAATGCCATTCTAGTAACTGTGGTATTACAGAGTACATATAGCCAGACATTAGTGCATTAATTAATGGCCTTAAACAGGGTTAGAAGTGTATATGTGTACGTCTGGGGGAAGGCAGACGATATGGTAGTATAGAGTTGTCTCTAATACTGTAAGCTTTCAGAAAAGTGCAGCTGTTACATCGGGGTGAAGTCAATCAGGTCCTGGTGCACTTCAGAGGAAAATAAATCGTCCGTGTGCTCATTCTGAGTAGCAAGTGAGATTAGGACCTGATCCAAAGCCCCTTGAAGTCAATAGGAAAACTCTCATGGGCCACAGAGCTGCCTCACTGTGTTTTTTGTTTTAACTGTATTCCTAAGTTTCTTTCTTCAGTTATCTCCAGTACTTCTGTTTTAGTATAAAGCCTGTAATCTCAGCTCTGTAAGGTCTTTCCTTTTAAAAAAAAAGTTCTGTATAATAGAGTTCTACTGCCCACTTTTGGGGGAAATAAATATGAATAGAGGACTTATGATTCAACATACACCTTACATATATCTCAATAAACCCAGGATGTTAATAATATAATTGAATATTTAAATAACAGTTTTGCTTACAAAGATATAAGCCCCCAAATAAAAGTATATAGACAGTCTATCATTCACTGCTGAAATACATTCCTCTCTGGAGCGATAAGGTAAATGAAACATTCAGCAACACTGCACAACCATTTAGGCCAATGTTAATTTATTGATGGAGTTTAAAAAAAAAAAGGTAAGGGTCTATTGGAGCCCAGGTGGCCCATCAGGCTAGTGTGGTTTAGGCCTACCGGTTTCTGCAGCCTACATGAGGAGCAATGTGGCTTGCCTTTGACTTCACAGCCTAAATATTCAGATACCCATTTACACTTGGGTTTCCTGGGGCATCCTTTAGCATTAGCCAAAATTTAGGCTTAAATGTCTGCATTTATGTCCACAGCAAATCGCCTTAACTGTTTTGGCACCACGCTACATGTCACCAGAAAATTAATTTTAAATTAGATTTTTATTTGTTTTTAGGAATGGTGCTATTGCTGTGGTGTCTGTGTAGCATAGGTACTAAATATCTGAGCAAATTTAGATGGCATGCTGATAAAATACTGGTGTTTGGGATACACTAGAACTTGCTCAACTGAAAACATCAGTGCATTGGTGTTTAGAATTGAAACACTGAGTACAATGTTGGCTTAAATGTTCAGAAATCTCTTATGCCTCAATTTTGACACCTGTAAGGCAGCCCAATTTTTAGGAAGTGCTGAGCACTACACAAAAATGGAGGTTCTCAAAATCCTAGTCATTTTTAAAATATGGGTTGAAAATTTCATTGCTACCGTATCATTCAGCACAACAGTCAGTGTCTGCTTGAGTGCTAGACCAGAACTGCAAAATTAAGGGGCAGTGGCACAGACATTGGGATACTTTCCTGTCTGTTCTATGCCTGGTCAAGACTGATGCTACTGAAGCCTGTAGTCCGGTGGGAAGGGCATTTATTGTATTTTAACACAAATGCTTGGGACCCACTAAAACCATAAAGTGAAGTGATCCTCAGTCACAGGAGGCTTGCATATTCTACCCCCTCAGTATAGCTCATAGCCTGCTCTCCTATAACACAGCACGTGCGCACAATTCTTTTTTGTAGGACACCTAAAATAGCACAGCTATTCTTCTTAAACTATTTTGCTGTTGCGCTCGTTCGTTTTTATAAAGAAAAGGAGAGAATCTGTGAGGGGGAAATGGTTTGGGGTGGAAGTATTTTGGGGAAATTTGTGGGGAAGTGGCCATTCTTTCAGTGAAAAAAAATAAGAATCTTTCACACCAGAGAAAATCTCTCTTCTGCACATCTCTCCTTGCCACCCCCAAACTCTGCAAATAACTCAGCTCCTGCATAGTCTCTCAATATAAACTTTCTTCTGTATACTCAGAGTAATCTTTTCACATCATAAAACTTATAATCCCCCTAAAGTGGTTCCTTAGGGTTTGAGGTATGATGCACTTATCAAATAACTGAAACAAATAAATCAGCTTATTTAGGCTGTGGTCAGCGTGTATGCGTATGCGTGTGTGTGTGGAGGGAGGAGGCCAGCGCCATACCAACATTTGTATACATTAGCAACAAAGCTGTCTGTGACAAGCTGTCCTCCGCATAACTAAACATTTAGTTGCATATCATAAGTAACTTCATAAGCAATTAAAACTAGAGTATGTTTTCCATTTGTAACCGCACTGAATGCAGCGAGGGAAACCCCACGACACATAATTACAAGCAGTATGGCAGTGCTGTTCGCATGTGCATAGAAGTACTTTCAGCCCAGTAATTACGAGCTGTGATACAAATGCAACAAAAGAGAAACTACTTACCACAACACATGGATCATGGAGAATGGAGCCTGGGCATAAAAGTCATCCCAATGCTGAAGAGTTTAGGAAACTTCCAACAAAGCTGTGCTTCTTGGAGACCATATAAGCAACCCTTAGCAGTGCTGAACTTTCTATAAGGGAGGTTACAAAAGCGAGGAACACTCAAAATCCCCTCCACACCTCTTGCACTAGACTCATTGTCTGGTTATGATTGTCCAGCCAGACTTGGCATATTTTTATCCAATATTTGTACAGAGTTCTAATTTTTGAAACTTTTGTTGGTATTCTTTTTTTTGGTTTGTTTTAGAGTAAGATTTATCTCTAACAAGGCCTATAGTTATGGAGTCATACAGCTCCATTTTTAGATGTATGAAATTTCAAAATTAAACTTAAAAATGAAATAAAGTAACCTTATGGAATGAGCATTTGCAGTTACATAGAATATATATTTTAACTCCAAAATTCTTTGGTTTATAAAGTTAACTTAAATTCTACAGTTTTATTGTGAAAATGCTTGGGTCCTTGAGAAAGATTTTTTTTTTTTTTACACTTTAGAAAAGCATGCAAAGAACAAATATACTGTCATCTTCATTAAAAAAAATGAAGTCATTCTTTAAAATATCTTTTTTTTACTTGAAAGTTTACCGAGTCAAAAAAAATGCTAATGATGTCAAAGTTATTAGGAAAACTTGTGGATGAGGGGGGTCTCCAGAATCTGGCCTTTGGTTTATAATTTTATTCTCTAAAACAGGCTCCTGCTATACTTTGCTTGAAACTGAAAGGCAATTTGAATTATTTTCAAGGATCTGAATAAGTTTTAAATTATGATTCATTCAGGCATAAGACAAGAATCATGTAACAAAAATAAATGAACGTATAACAAAATATGATGGTTGCGATAACACAGTAATATTACTAAAATTTTAAAAAAATCTCTTAAATGTTGTTAAATTCAAAACCAAGTGGAGTAACCTGCACAAGTTTGAAGCCTCAAAGGGGAACCTTCCTACTGGCCCTGCGTTAGCATTCATGTAAACATCCAGACCCTGTTGTAAGTAATATAAGTGTGCCTACTAACCCTGTTTTTCACAAGCACATGCCACCTCTTACATTCTAATATGTCTCATTCCTATTTTAAACTGTTATTCTTGTCTCTAAGCCCAACAGGGAAATAATTAAAGCGGTCTGGTCACATGCAAGGGCCCCTGTTAATTTCTACAAAAGATGCCATATTCTAACAGCACAATTTACTCTATTCCATAGCCTTTGTAATATAACAAAGTAGAAGTAACAGAAATCTGGAGGTATTTGTTCATTTTAAAGAAGGAAATACCAAAAACTATAACAAAATAAAGATCTACACCACCAAAATGATTTCAACTACAAAAAATAAAAGGAGCTATTTAGTTCAGTGTACATAGTGATTTTTAACAGCTCAAACATTTTAAAAATTGAATCCACATCAATTACCACATAAGAACTGTTATCATATAGCTGTGGGAGTTCTGTACATGAATGATTTGTAGCATTTATTTCTTAATGTATGGTATGGATGTTTGCATGTATGCATGTATATATTTAGCATATACATGGAGTAAAAAAAATACAATTAAAGCTCAAATAAATATTTGCTAGGGAGTAATTTCAGTCTGTTAAGGAAATAATCTACATTTTAAGTTATCTAAAGTAAATATGTATTCACATGGTAGTCCACAACAGATCTGAAACCTTATGAAGTATTGAATAAATTATATTTAATTATTGACATAGTGAGTATATTTGCTTGAAAAAATCTGTAGTTGCATAGATGCAGAAGATGCATTAGCACTCCACAGCACTGTTTTTAAAAGACCATTTTCAAAAAATGTTAATCCAGAAAAAATTATTTTCCTATCGTGTTTTTGATTGCTGATATAATGCTTTTTTTTCTACTCTGCTATTTGCTGGCAGTAAAATGAAATCCAAATCAAGAGACAAATGATGTGACTGGACTTTAAAAGTGACTAATTTTATGACTATTAATAACATCTGCAGCTCTGCAAGCTAAAATAATGAGGATCATGATTGTGTAAAACACTTTCTGCTTTAAGCCTTCAGCTGATGTGCTATGCAGATCATAAAGGACTTACCCACCAGAGTCTAACCCTGTTGTCAAAGCCTAGATTTACCATGACTTCACCATACACAAAGCAACATTGCACAATGGCTATATACAACAACAGGATGGACTTCCTCTGAAACTTTAAGAGTTGCCTGTGCCATACACATATGGTATGATCCCAGCTAGCAAATCTTGCATTTCTACAAAGGAGGATTTACCAGAATTTCACTTTACTGTCTGGGGAAAATAGAGAAGGGTGCTGGGGCAGGAAGCATTGTATACAAGTTTGTACTTGTGCACATGGGAAAAGAATATTTGTGCCATCTTTGGTGCTGGAGATTTATCTAAAAACATGAAACCAGCACATCTTTAATAAAAAGATAAATTAATACTGCAGACCCAATTTACAAAACAGACACCACTATTCTGCCATGCAAATATAGTTTCATAGTTTCTAGGGTCGGAAGGGACC